AAGTAAATAATAAAAATAAATAATAAAACTAAAATAATAAAAATAAATAATAAAATGTGAATTGTTTCGGAATTGCTTGTGAATGGCGTTAAGTGTAGTGTTATAATCATACATACGTACGTACGTATCATTTTTAAAAATTACATGTTAAACACTAGTACTAACAAAAACACTAACGTTCTTTTTTGAATACACTGTACTACGTACGACACTATATGGGCGTGATAATCGATATTATGTACCATATAATTACTATACCTACAATAACTACTACGTATGTATATGATTACGATAACTAGAATTCTATGTAATTTTAATCAAGTTATTTAAGGTATATCGGCTTGGAACGAAAAGTAGGACGAGATTACTTGACACATGATATGATTATTTAAATAAACTTAATAAATTATTACATCTTGTCATTACCCTTTACCTAACTTTGTAAGAAATTCTTTCGATCAAAAGTATTAAGAATGAATAATTGCACATGATTGATTTTAATCGGTACACATATCGATATTGGTAAGTATCGGTAAGTATCGGTAACATGTAAGTATGTGCATTGCACAAGAGTTCGTGTCTACGCATACTGTACATATGGTACATATGATACCGATACATACCATATGTACCATATGTATCGGTATGTTACAATAACAAATAACGATAACGATAAGGATAAATGCTAAGTACGTACGTACATACGCACATACTTGATACGTACATACGTACGTATACTATTACTATTACTTAAATGTTATTTAGTGACTACAATGCAAAATTCCTGCGTTGTTGACATCTCATCGTTAGCCGTTTATTTTAATATCCTCATTTCCCATTCCCATTCCCATTCTCCCATTCCTATTTCTCATTTCCTCGTGGTTTTTTTACATATTAACTGTCAAATAAAATAAATCATGTCCTCGAGACATAAAATTACATAAATGTACATCAATATAAGTATCAGTATTATGTATTAGTATCATTGAAAAGTAATTTAATGGAGAATAACTTTTATTAATAAAATTAAAATTACCTTGTAAAGATAATAATAAATTTTGAATTTAATTATATAGAATTAATAATTGTCGAATAATGAATCTTATTGAATTTAATTTTAATGTTGAATAATATAGAACAGTAGAATATATAGAATATATAGAATATATGATAATAATAATAATAATAATAATAATACGTATTTACGTTCTCAGAGACGTAAAGCTCCTTAAAAATTTTAAGGAATCGAAATCACTTTGTCATCTCTTTTTAGGATTTGACACAATAAAATTTCCTACGCACGTACAGTATGTACTATACGTATATACATGTCTACTTTCTTTTTTAGTCAAAAAATGAAAAATTCCATTTACTCATTCATTTGCTCAATTCAATTATGAATAATTAATTACACATGAATGAACTTTTTGATACAAGCTTTTCTCGAAATATCTTTAAACTTCTAAATGTTATTTTCTTTTGTCATCTTCAAATAGCTAGGCATTATTCTATAAAATTCAATTCTTTAATAACCGTATCAATATGATCAATATGATCAATACGAACCAGTATAGTTAAGTTACGCGATAACATTATCATTCATCCTTGTGGTTATCTTTTAATCTTTGTAGTCAGTTATCATATGCTTCAAGTATCGCATGTATCACATAAACGTATGTACATATGTACGTGTTTTTTCCGTTTGTGCAATTATACTGATATCACGGGATGTAGAAAAAGAATAGATCTGTCCTACAAAAAACTATTTCTACAAAAACTATTCTACGTACAAAAAACTGTTTTATATACGAAACTGTCCATACGTTGTCATACACCGTCATGAGATTTTTATTCTAATCAGCTGATATGACGATCAATTCACTCAGCTACTACTACTACTGAGCTACTAAGTAATGTGTAGCTACGTACGTACTCTTACTAACAAACTAACGGACTAACAGACTAGCTAATACTATTTAGCCGGTTAATACTTTAACCATTAGATTTTGATCACTGTTTGTTACACTTGTAAGACCTATTAATTACTGTAATTATTTCGATAGTTAATAATTATAGAAATATAGTTACAATATGATACTGAATTTATCATGGTCATTTATAAAACTACTCCTCATACAGAAATACTCACACAGGGTACATAAGACACATAAGACACATAGGAATCAAGGCCACGCGATACACGGGCATGTTTAATGATACGATTAACAAGTCGCGCCAAATCTCCTAAATTGTTAAAAAAAACATCTTAACGGCGAATCGCGAATCTCAAAGTTAATCACCCCCATCTTTTTTTTCTAAATTTGAAATAAATATAGAGTGACAAAGAAATTTCTACATTCGGTTTTTTTCAAAATTTTTTTTTTTAACTTTTACGTATGAATGATTAGTAATAGTATTACGTTATGCATATTCAAAATATATTTCAAAATGTATATTTCAAAATGTTATATTCAAAACGTATATTCAAAATGTATATTCAAAATGTATATTCAATAATGTAAATGCATCGAAAAAATTACCTTCCTTGTTTCGTCACTCGTACTGTTTCTTTTAATTTTTCTTTTCTCTTCATAAAGCATATAATAAAATGGAATAAATAAATATTTTAAATGGATAATCATTAAAAGTTATATTATTTTATTATTAAGAGTATTAAAAAGTATTAAATAGAAAAAATTATTGAAACCTTTTAAATATTAAAAAAAAATTTATTGAAATGAAATATAATGAATATAATGAATATTGAAAAGAGTATTGATGAGAATAAAGAGTTACGTAATAATTTAATAATCCATCATCAAAAAAAAATTTAAAAAAAAACTTTTTTTTTTTTCATATATCGATATTCTTTGTTTTGGAATGTTAACATCCGCACATGGAATGTTTATAAAAAGTTTTCTTTACTTGGTCATACCTCATGATCAGGATTAATTTAATCATCATATCTGACTGGTACAGTTTGATAAACAAAACTACATATTTTACGTCCGCGTGATTTTTATTATAAGATGTGAATTCCTATTATTGCTATTACTATATACAGATATACGTATCATTACTATTACTACTATATATATATACCATATATATATCTCTACCATATATATATATATTAACTATATATTATGTATACTACATATTAAAATACTAGATATACTAGATGTATCTATGTATCTACAGTTAACCGTTAACGTTTAACTGGTAATCGGACTGAATCGGATAAAACCGATCGATCATTATCATGACATCAGACTATTGCATTATTAGACATCAGACTATTAGATACCAACCTATTACAGTCTTAGAGACATTAGCCTATTAAATGAAGAATTTTCATTACCCCAGGATTTTGATCAAAAGATCAATTACTTGTACATACACGTGTAAACTTTTGGAATTATATATTTAGAGCATATCGACAAATATTACAATACTGACTTGCTTATATTTACAATATTAAAAATACATATTAATAATATTAAATATTAGGCTTCATGTTCATCAATGTTGAGCACTTTTTTTTTTTAAAAAAAAACAATATAAAAATTTTTTATCTTTATCCTAAATTTATATCTCATAAAAAATTATCCGAAAAAATAAAAAAAAATACTAAATATGGTTTCCTAGTGTGTTAAGGAAAATTTATTTAAAACTATTAAAAAACCAAATATTTCTTTAATCGATCATTATTGCTATTGTTACGGCTATTGTGTATTGTTATTGCTAATATTAACTGATACTGCACTGCTACCGTTATTGTTACTACTGTTATCTCTAATGTTTGAAATCATAAAGCAACGGGATGTTAAGGATGTCAAAAAATGTTAAGGATTTTAGGGATGTTAGGGATATTAAGGATGTTAAAAGACGTTAATGTTTGAAATTTTTTCTTTATAATCTATTATATAAAGGTTTTTTTTATCTGATACATCAAAAAAAAAAAAAAGTTTTATTTTGAGCACAAGACCATGAAAAAGCCTTAACGTAAAATTTTATTCATGAAAATCCTGAGTGCGTGACCTTATAGACATAATATTTTTAGTGGTGCCTTTTGATTTTTGATTATCAAACTAGAAATTGTGCAATGCCCGAAACTAACAATGAAACAGTAAACAATATATTACTTGCATACATATATATATATATATATATATCGATATATATATTTATTTATATATATCGATGTATATATACGCTGTATATATGTCTATATATATACTGTATATACACTTACAATATACATATAAAAATGTGTAAAAATGCAAGTCTAATCAATCAATCTCAGAGTCTCAGAGCCCATGGTATCTTTCAAGTATATGCTTGAGTTATATTCATCGTTTGAGTTAGTATTTCGTTTGAATAAAGAATTACCATTAATTCTAAACACGTGATGTATAATGATATGGGTGATTGTGACGACGTATAAAAAAAATTTTTTTTTTTTTACCTGTTATTCTATAAATTGTTTGTTTTTTTTTTCTTACCAGAAATCAAAAAAATTTTTTTTTTTTTTTTTTTATATTGCTATAATTTATATATTCAAGTTACTCGAAATCATATGCTCCACTTGATTGCATACAAATAAATCCGCATCTTTTGAGGCCATATAGATATTTATATATTATCCCTTCTTTTTTTTTTCAAAACGAATTCACAGTACAATATATATAAATAAAAATTTTTTTTTATATACATATATTTTTTATTTTAAACATTTTATATTATATTATATCTTCTGTTATATAAACGGAACAGAATCTCATTCTGAAAGAAATAAAAAAAAATTTACTACTACATTTTACCATTTTAATAATTTTCACTGACGACCGTCAAAACAAATTTTGTTTGTTATTTTTTTTTTTCGTTGGCTTCTTTAAAAGACCTTTCTTTAATTTACCTTTCAAACTCTGTTTCTTTACTTTTCTTACAACGATAACTTTTTCAAAAATCACGACGAAATTTTCTTTTTAAAAAAAAAAATGACTTGTTGTTATGATAACTCGCATGATACTGATTATACTTTTCAAGCTTCTGATAATAATATTCAATCTCACTATAATGTCGAGGTTGTTAATAATCAAGAGAATGGTAAAACCTATAAACCTTTACCTTCTCACTGCACAGGTAATTATTTTAAAATAATTTCAACTTTATATTATTTTGATTATTATTAATATCGATTAAATATCGATTAAATATCGATTAATTATGATTATTTAAATTCATTTTTATTATTATTATTATTAGACTTTTTTGCGGAAAATTTATGTGGAATATTAGAACTTCCAACTCATCCTAAACGCATCTTTGAAGATTTTGTTCCGTTACCCGAACTTGTACTTTTTATTCAAAAAGTTACCACGAAAGCTCGAATCGATGTCCGAACAACTATAATAGCGTTGATTCTGGTTTTAAGATTTAAGAACAAGATACAAAAAAAGGTACCAAAAAATAAAATAAAAAGTGAAAATGGAAGTCACAAAATACAAGGAGAATATAGTAATTATAAATTACTAGGAGAATATGGTAATTATCTTCTTTTTTTTTTTTTCTATAACATTGTTTTCATTGTCCATTATTATTTGGTCGTGTCATATGATGTACTTTTTTGGTCTCGTGGTCATTTCCGATAGTCCCGGTGATTTAAATAGTCATGTACATCTTGGTGTTACATCTTTTTACGTGGTTGGTTGATAGTCCGATAACATTCGGCAATATCCGCGATGATATCCACGATATTATCCGATATAATATCTGTGATAAATGTCCACGAATCTTTTGGTTCATCGAATATCTGTTACACATTTCAGTAACATTTTAGTACCATTTAATAACATTAATAACATTTTTACATTTAATAATTTTAATAATATCACAATATCTCACATGTGAGAATGTCAATAATCTTATTGGATGATTAATGTTATCATGCGACCCATTATATGCACGCCTAAATAATGTTACTTTAAACTAAAATAGCTTAGTAATTATTATTAGTTAGCATATATATATATATATGAATATACTAAATTAGTATATTTATATTTATAAACATTAGTATATTTATATTTATAATCAATATTATTAACCTTGCTTATTTTAAACTATTTATTATTTTTTTATTTAGGAACATGTCATAAAATATTTTTATCCGCTATTATTGTTGCCTCAAAATACCCGACCGGAACTTATCCTTACAATTCATCTTCACCATCTCTATCTGAAGAAGATTTACCAAAATCTTCATGTGCATCACCAATAAATGAACAAGAAAATTCACCTGAATCAAATAATTCATCAATGTTTTCAACAACTCCATCTTCCATCTCTTCAACTGTTTCATCAAATGCTTCAATCGAAGATTATGAAGAAATACATTCGCAACAATTTAACAATCACCAATTTAACAACCACCAATTCAACAATCACCAATTTAATAATCACTTAAATAATCATCAATTTAATAATCATAATCAAAATCAATTTAACAATAATGAACATTCTTTAGACCTCATAAATCAAAAAATTGCCGATAGTTCCGGTATTTTTTCGATAAATGAAATTAATAAGGCGGAGAGGTGTTTCCTTAAGGTTTTGGGGAAATTTCGGCTTAGTGATAAAAATGTGGAAGATTTCATACAAAGTAATAGGCAGGCTTTAGGAATATCATAATGAATCTTTTAATCTTGAATCTTGGGTATTATTAGTATTATGATGGTTTTGGTAATAGCTGATTTTTAAAATATTATATACAACTCCTCCCCTCGGTACCAAAATTTTGTACTATATTCTTTACACTTATTATTATTATTTTTTTCTTCTACATTTTTCGTAATAGAAGGCAACATTCATTTCTTTTTTATTTTGTTTTGTTTATTTCTTGGCGTTTACTCTTTATCCGTGTGATGTAAAGTTTCCTGCATGAATGGTTTTGTTAAAATTTTTTTTTTTTAAACTACTTTTTTTTGCTGTAAGGTAATAATTAATGTTGATACGAAATTACTATTAATTACTATTACTAAATATCTAAAAATAACGCCATGTAATATTTCACCTGATTGATTTTCTTTTATATATATACATATATATATATTTCATTCTTTGTAAATATTTTTATATATTAGTTGCCAAAAATATTTTGGTCGAGGGTGGTTTTTCATACGTGTGATTATTATTATTAATAAGAAGTTAATTTACTTTTGAGTTGCCTTCATCAATCAATTTAAAAAAATTCAAATTAATTCATAATGTTGCATTTTTTTTTTTTTTTTTTTTACTTTTTGATTTTATTGTAAAGATTGTCTTCTTTTTTTTCATAAAAAAAAAAAAATTATGAAAAACCATTTTATTTGATTTTTGATGGAAAAATTGTCGATTTTTTTTTTTAAAAAAAAACAAATTCATATGATTCATACTTAATAAAAAAAAAAATAATAATATGCATACGTATAAAAAAAAAAAAAACTTTTCACTTGTTCTTTTACTCTTGAATTTCTTCTTGAATTTTTTTTTAAAAAAATGTTTGAATCTAATGCAAAGTAAGAAGATACATGATTATTTAGATACCAGGCTATTGGTAATGCACCTGTTTTTCTAAAATTATATCATAACGATACATTCTTATTTACTAAATTATGTATCAAAACTCTTTCGTTTACCAAAGAAAGTTAAAAAAAATTGCTTGGTCGATATCTATATGCTTGATGCATACATTACGTACATCACAGACACTACATACCGATAAGTATACGTACTATACATTACAGACACTACATACGCATATTTTACATTACAGGAACTACATACGTGTATATTATACATTACAGACACTACATACGTAATATACAATATACAGACACCACAGATATTACAAAGACATTACAAAGACATTACAAAGACATTAACAGAGATGCTACGGAAATCTCTTTAAATAGTTACCGAACTTGAATGAAAAGATGTGTGAATTATTAGTAAACGCATACATACATCGATCAAAATGCCATTAAGCATCGGTTAAGTATAATATCAATCATCAGTTAAGTATTAGTTAAGAATCAGTTAAGGATCAGTTAAGAATAAGTTAAAATCAGTTAAAGATCGGTTACGAATCAGTTAAATATAGGATAAGTATCTGTTAGGCATCTGTCAGGTATCGGTCAGACATCAGTCAGGTGGTGTTTTAATACATGTCAAAAGTGTGGGAATTTTTTTATGACCCGAGTAATCGAATGACATGGATCCACGACCGCCCTTATGACCCTAAGCCAAAAGATCTGGTTTTTTTTTTTCACAAACGATAACAGTTAAAAAAAATTTTAATTTTTGTATAGATCTTCAGGTCCCAGCTCAGGGTTGCATTTCACTATCGGTTATTTGTGGCTTTATTAAATTCAAGTTTTCTAATATTAAAATGCTTTACAATCATTTATTGTCCCTCAATCTTTTTGGAAATCTTTTTCGGAAAACTTTTTCGGAATTGAAAGAGCTTCCATTCTTCAATCGATATTATCTGAATATCGATACTTGAAATGACCCGAATAAAGTGATAACGAAATATAAAGAAAAATGAAAACAAAGCCACCTTTTCATAATAATATATATGACAGATAATCCTCGTGTAATTCTGTAATTTTAATGATCGATATATTAAATCCAAATAAATCCAACTTTGGAAATCTGATTTTAAAATAAGATCATAAAAAAAATTTTTCGGACATTCTTTGAACTTTTGAAAAACAATATTTCATAAACAATTTTATACACTTGTACAACGGAATTTTTTGTATAACGGGAATTTTTATATTTTGATGAAGTTTGTGTATTATATTCCATTTAAACTTATTTGTATTTCACAAAAAAGATAAATTTTGGTAAGTTTTGGTAACTATTCTAGTCACTTATATTTACTTGTATACTTTAATTACCAAAAACTAAAGCTTTTTTATTATTATAGAATACAAAAGGTTCTTTTTACGTACGTATAGTAAGTACTTGCATACTTTCTTATGTAGGTACTTATGTAGGTACTTTACGTATTATGAATCCTACATGAGTAAAATACACAAGTACATAGATTAATCTCATATTTCATCTTATCGGTCTCATGATCATACTTACCGCGGATAACGGCTTCCGAAAATGATTTCTAAAATGATTAAAAAGAAAAGAATTGTAAAAAATTTTCAATTGTTTTTTTTTTTAAATTATTAATTTTTTATTTATTTTTTTTTAATTTATAATAATTAAATGTCAAAATTTTTAGATTTCCGATTAACCTTGTTTTTTTTTTTTTTCTTTAATTTATAATAATGATTAAATGTCAAATTTTTAGATTTCCGATTAACCTTTTTTTTTTAATAAATGGTATTCTCTGATAGGCTATTATAATGACATGCGATATGAATTTAAGGTTGATGAGTTCTAAACCGTTTTAGAATAATTGTTTCACTAAAACTTTGGAAAACTAAAAATAATAATCAAGAGTTGTCTACCAGATCTAGGAATAATCTGGTTTATTTTTTTTTTGAAAGTGTAACGTAAAAACTAATTGGATTAATGTCGGTACGCCATAGCCATTGCTAAATCAGGTTTTGAGGTTTTTTTCAAATTTCTTATTTTTTTCCCTGATTTATATTTCGAATGTCAAAAAATGGTAATACATAAAGTAATACATAAAGATAATGTTTTTTAGATCGATTCTTTTCTTTTCAGTTACAGAATAACGTGAGTTATATGTGAGTTATACATGAATCATATGTGAATTATATAAGAATTATATGTGAATTATATAAGAATTATATGTGAATTATATGTGAATTATATAAGAATTATATGTGAATTATATGTGAATTATACAATATTCAACTAATATTCGTTGTGTAGTTCGTTTTTAGGCTTTTTCTTTCCTTTGCACATAAAAGGAATGCCGGTGATAGGCGAGTTTTAATTTCTGTTTTTGGTTCTTCTTGATTACACTTCAATAATAAACTAAGATAAGCAAAGGTGCTGAGTCGACCATGTAACACGAAATTATCTCAACTATATATATCGGTATCAATAAATGACCTTTTGTATGTATGCATCTATACATATATACATACATACATACATACATGATGCATGTGATACATTTAACATTCGTGTTCAGAATTTTGTGGGGGGTCAAAAGCTTTTTTTTTAACAAATTCACCCAAATTAATCTAATTTAATGGACACTTGACCATTCAAAATAACAAAAGCAATTCCGGGCTCCGATTGTTTATAAGGAGACAATTATTCATGATATTATTATTAGCACACGCATTTATTTTAACCATGTTATGCAGAATAATGCACAATGATAATGCGTAATAATGTATGCTGTTCATGAGAAATTTCAATTCGGTTAATGGTTTGGTTGTACGTATCACTATTCATTCTATTTAGAATGCGTTCCTTAAAAAAATTATTATTAATAATACATAACTTGTTGACTATTATTAATAATTATTTATTATTCAATTATACGTATACGTACGTACGTACAATATCGTTAATTATTTATTTCTTGTGCGAAATAGTTAATTTCAAATTGACTGTCTTTCAATGAAAAAGATAAAGAAATTATTGTTGAAAATTGGATAATAGATACAGATTTGATAATCAATTAAATTAGATTTTACTTATCTCGCATTTATTTTCTAAAAAAAAAAATAATAATTTTAATTTTAATTATAAAGCATAATTATATTTTATCGTTACATAAAGTTTTTAAAAAACTAAAAGGTTTACCATTATCATATACGTACGTACTTACGAAAAAATGTAAATAAATTATAATAAATTTTATAAAGTTTAATTTGACTTAATAAAATAAATTATTGTAAATTTGGTAAGTACGTACCTACTACGTTTGTACTGATTAACACCAACGTTAAACTATCACGTATTAATGTCTCCTGAATATTCAGATCTAGATAAAAATTTTAGAATGTTCCAATTCTTAAATCTACAGATTTTTTTACAGAATGTTTCTACAGAATACAAGTCACTCTCATTATACATAGTAAAGTCATCGGGCTGTAAGACTTCCAAGAGTCTAATTACGTAGTAAATTTTTAGTTAACTCACTATATCAAAAAGTTTTTATATAAACTGCACTATGTTTATATCGAGTGTTCATTACATCTAACAAAAGTAACTTGTAATTTTACAGAATAATTAGCTATTTATAAAAGTCTGTTATTTTCTCTTTTTTTTCGGTATTAAGATGACCTCTTTGGTCGTAGCTTTTTATTAATACTTATATCAGGTACATGTTTTATATAGATGAATCTATAATGAACTATCAGACGAGTGTACAACTGGTTACACATGTAACTTTTTTATATTATCTATTTAAGGAGTTCACCTGAAGGTTCTTTACCAGTTGTCATACCTAACACCCCTGCTTAGATGTTCCATTTAAACCTTCTGATCTGATCCTGTTATTAATTTCATCAGATCACAGACTCAGATCTATTCATTTTTAATCATAAGACTATAATCCTTAAACTATTTTTATCCTCAAGGTAAACCTACCAGAGTGAATTGTATTTTCTTTTATCACTAACCTGGTTTGACATTATGGTTAAAATCAACATTTTTAGTCAGAGTTATCCTTTAAAATATTATTATCTTTGTAAAGTTTATTCAAATCCTGGTACCCATCTTTTCAACTTCTTCTTTATCATTTTCTACTAGTTATAACTTGGAACTAATTGACTCCTAAACTTTCAATTCAGATGGCCTAGTATGATATACTTATGTATCTTTTTCCTTCAGTGATTCTGGCAACCTAGTTGGTCATGTGTTTCTCTATACATCTTGT